CTTATTCAAAATGGCCTAAATGGTGGCCATTTTTGTGCTAAAAAATCATATATCAAGCATTTCTGGCATTTATGGATGGATTACGTTCAAACTTGGTACATACATTAGACATTACGGGTTCTTGATGCACCTCATTTTATTTTTCTATTCTATTTCTATTTTTATTTTTATATTCAAATTTTATATATATTCGTTATACATCATGTTATATATATATATATATATATATATATATGTATTCAAAATGGCTGATTTTGAATGCTGTTCCAGAGCAATATCTCTCAATATGGACAAGTACTTGTTTGACGACCATGTCAAAATGTCAATCATTTTAATGTTAAAAAATCTTATTCCTGACATGGTTATATTCCAGCTATATTACTATAAACAAAACTATATATCTTAAATTTGATAACTAACGAGGACTGTGCCATCCATGGCTTGTTGATTTAGTTTTTGATTTCGATCAACTCAAAACATTTTTTTTTTTTGAGCACTCATGTCAAATGTATGAGTTGGCAATCCATAAAACTTCTATATAAGGACCATTTTTTCATAGGGTGGCTGCTGTACACAGGTTTACTGGAACTATTGATGTTATCTTTGCTAGAGCAAATATGGTATTTGTATGTGTGATCACCATATCATGACTATTTTTTGCATTGTCTATATTATCATGCCAGTGTACTTGTATAGTCATAAATGCCAAATTCTATTAAATTATTTTGTGATACCCCTTTGCCTTGTATAATATTTAAATTAGTCTCAGAACCAAACGTTAATCAAAACAACAATTAGCAATGTTGCAAAACTAGACTTGCATGTACTGTCAAATTAGACAACACACATTTATTTCAATTAATTCTTTAAATACGTATTTCATTTCAATTAGAATGACAAACATATTGGAAGTTTCATCAAATGCATTATCATGGCTTAATGTACATGTTGATGTTTGAGACATTTTAAAATTAAAAAAGGATGGACTATGCCCGGTTGTTTAATTCAGCTTAATATGCTAAATGTGCTGCACAATCCCCAAAATAATAACATTTATCATGCATGGATTTAAGGGGAGGCCTACCCTCTTCACCCGGCAAAAAAAAAAAAATTGACAAGTCAATTGACAACCAAGCCCCGCCATAGCCCATCCTTCGGCCACATCAATAGTCCACACCCCCTTACCGAATTTCTGGATCCTCAAGAGTTTATAGTCTGTTTTTTTCACAGAAAATGGTAGTGTAAATTTCAATATTCAATAAAACTTGAAACAATGTCAGATTTGGCCCGTTCAAAATTAAAATTAAATTCAGTGTCATTTACAGAAAATGTGTACAAATATACCCCATTTGGGTCCACAGGTCCTCAGGTGCTTGAGTTTAACCGGGTGTGAATGACACAATAATAAGTGCATTAAATTGCCTTAATGCCATAATAGGAAGATGGACACACAGCCCTGTCTATCTAACATGTCTCGAAGGCTTACTTTTCATGCAAGTGTTTGTAAGCTACCGTGAGCAACCTATCCAGCTACCAGTAAAGTTGATTATTAGTTTTCTGTACATCTAGAGATTATAAAGTGAGAACCTGTGAAACTATTTTTACAGGGGTGTGTGCAAATTTTAATAGAGCATTATGCCACACAATAGAACACATAGAAGCGACAGTGTCCTGACATTTGAGACTGTCTGTACATACATTTTGTTTAATTTGCTTCGCTATTCCTTCGGCAATTTCTGCAATTAAATGAAATAGAGTGAAAAGTAATTGCTTCTTTTAATGATAATAAACATGTCTCTCAGTATTATATTGATGTCTCCTGCAGCTTGAACTTCACAGAGGCACCAAAGCCATTTGCATTGGTGTATATTCCTATATCCTAATTTATCCCAGTTTATAAATTTTGGACTTGAAACTGGGTCTCTTGCTATTGTTGTTCACTTGTTTTCTCTGTTTTACAGACTATCAAATGTCTCCTAATCTATCCTAACCCGGAGTCTGCGCTCAATGAAGAAGCAGGAAAACTTTTACTTGAACAATATGAGGACTATTCTTTACGAGCAAAAATGATGACAGAAATTCATGCTGTCCCACCTAGAACATCCAAAGAATGTAAAAACACTATGGACGATGTTCCCTCCACTTCCGCCGCCAGCGAATATTCATGTAATGGACCAATGGCAAAGAAACATGCCGGTGACAAAAAAGCCTTAGAAAAAAAGAAAAAGGATAAAAAGAGAACATTGAAGCGATTATAACATCAGGCTGAGTGCTTTTCACAATAAGGACATTTTTAATTTTTTTTGTACAAATTTTGAAAAAAAGTTAAATGCTGTAACTACTTGTATGTATGTTGAACGGTGTGCCAAGAGGATATTGTATAATTGTTATTGCCCAACTTCCGTTGTTTTTTTAAAAAGAATATGTGCATATAAAATAATTTGTGTATAAGTTGAGTGAATATAATCCGTGTAGAAAAAATGAAAAGTAATTCTGGTACATTTTGATTCCGTGCAATCTTTCTTTTGTTTATAATCTTGCTGTTGTCCCTATGTAGAATAGTTTTGTTAATTTACTTGTCCCATTTGTAAACTTCTGATAACTGCTTTTATGATAAACTACACAACTTTTTCTAAAGATATTTATAGCAGCTTATGAGGTTCAATAATTGTTGTATATTGTTGGATGACGTGAAAGATAGCGAAATATGAACAAAAATGTCTGGTAAAATAAAATGATTGAATATAGGATGATTGTAATATAAAAACAAAAATGTTCTCATCTTGGATTGAGCGCCCACCAACATTTCTGTGCAACAATTTGCATGTATTTATGTATTTGTCAAATTTGGATCAGATGGGAAAATTATTGAAAAAATTAATATTTATTTTGTAAAAGGTAACAAAAGTTGATTATGGCGCTTAAAAGATTAATATCAGCAGTACGGTTAACATTGGTATCACATTTTTTTTAAAAGCCAGAGTATTCCGTTGTTATAACCAACCTCAGGAGTTTAACGTAATGTTGTATCCTGGTAACTTGATTTGAACAACATTAGTAATATTAAGATACTGCGATATATAAACCCACCCAGTTCAAATAATGCAGCTTATGCACCATAAGGTTGACCAGTACAGTTTTAGCAATGTGGTTTGGTTTGGTTTGGTTTGAAGTGGACATGGAGGAGCTTTTATGTAATAACTTGCTCTATCACCAAAGTATTAGCATAATGTAAAAAAAACTGCTACCCGGTATATCTTCAAATATATAGTTCCTGACATATTGTTTCATTATCTCTAGTTCCTAAAAATCGTGAATATAGGTAAAATAATATAATGTTCACTCCTCCCTTATAACCATGTAGAGCAATAAGCAATCTTTTCACAAAATATAAAAACATTCATGAAACTGTATTGGTCAATCCTAACGCATCACTGTAATAGTGTCGTTCTACAATATGGGTCCCATGCAATAGCAGTCATGTAATATAAGAAATGATTTGGGCCACGTATCAATTCAAAAGTTATGGAGATTTTCGTGAGATATTTGTGTAGAATCGTGATTGATTTTGCTGCTCATTGACAAGGTTATTTTTTGACTGGACATTATGAATTGTCATCATTTATTGCATTTTCAGGTGCTCTTTAAACAAAACTGCAAACATGTCATTTGCTCAGCAGTGGAATTTTGAGTAAAAAAAGGCTATTCTATAAGTTCCAATGATAGGATTAGCCATACAATTGTTTGCTATTGACAAAAGTCTGGAACTGTTACATTTGATACAGGTGACAATACAGCTTTAATTAGGATTCACCAAAACTATTGATGCATCTCTGTAGGAAACTATAATGATTGGTGAGTGCAAACGATGGGCATTTAAGTTTAATGCGCAACAGGTGTTGCATCGCATCCTGTTCGATATGAGACCCATAGCGACAAATATTAAGTGTGTAAACTACATTGTTTCGTTTACTTTAAATTTAAACATGTGCTGCCCGGCGACTAAAGTTATTTAGTTGAGTGCACTCTCTTAAAGGGCGGTAGTCGTCGTGCTGCGTCCTGTTCGATATGGGACTCGTAACAACGTATACAACGCGTGTAAAATCATTGTTTATTTACATGAAATTCAAACACTCGCTGCGAGACGACCGCCGCCGCCAGCCGCCGCCGCCGCCGTTCTTAGAAGCACATACGCTTGTATATTAAAAACCTCTGTAAATGGTTTGCATTAACAAATGTCAACCATTTTCTGATTCGGGTTTGGTGTGTTTAACATCCCACCAACATTAACAATTTGTGCCTTCATGTGCACTGCTATTTGAGATGTGCTTCTAATGGTTTACATGCACTGAACCATCCACTGGACTCTCAAGAAATTTAAATATTTGTATAAACTGAACACAAGTGAGAGAGTGGTTTGGTTTATAGAAGTTTTATCTGGGGGTCACCAAGCTTGGATTAAACTAGTCTGAATTATACACAATTTATCTTACTTAATTCTCATTGTTGTATATTTGTTTTATATTTAATTTTTTTTTTGGCAGTCATTATTTCCAGGTTCTGTCTAACTTACTGTTATTCATGCAAATGTTGAAGTTCTAAAAGGACTTAATTTATTTTACTGTTGTTTTGGCGCAAGATTGGATGCTTCTATGGAAAGTGCCCTCAGTCATTGACTTTTAATAAAGTGAATTTATGTTTTTAAACCAAGTTTCTATCGAATGTTTGGTGCTATATTCAGTTACAAACCATCTTGTTGTACCTGAAGCATACAAGAAACAACTGTTTTGTGTTCTGGCCCCTTTTGCACATTCTTTGAAGTGGGGGCTCACAATCAAGTGACAATGCTATACGTATTTCTGTATTTGTGTTCATTGCAATGCATAGTTTCAAATTTGTATGTAAATGTAGCATGCATGCATAGCATAGACTTGGGAGGGATGATACTGTAAAACATGTCTTTTTAGCGAGAGAACTGATTCGCTATTTCAAAATGTTGCTAATGACTTTATTATAAATTCAAAATGGCCAAGGCTTGGGGCTTTTTATACAGTAATCTGGAGCGCTTCTTAATTACACTTGACAGTTTTTCTTTGTTAACTGCGCATTTGTTTTGGCACGCGACAGACAAGTATTGTGAAAACAGGAAATCAACAATGACAAGAGAGATTTGCTAAATCAACATTTCGCAATTACGTCATTTTCCCACAATTCGCTAAATCAACATTTCGCAATTGCGTCATTTTCCCACAATTCGCTAAAATTGCATGTCGCTTTTTCAAAATGTTTTACAGTAGTCAGAAATTAAATACCATCTTAGTATC